GCTTGAGATGACAAAGTTGTTCTATTATATTTTATCAATATGTTCTTTTGTTCTCCATTGAAAAATTTCAAGCACCCGTTCTCCATCTCATGGGATTGTATGCTGAGGCTACAGATCCTGATGCTACAGATCCCACAGCTCAGTGTTAAGCACTTCCGATACTTGTACTCTAGTAGAGGCAATAAGATCTGTGCATAAATGTCAATAGTGTGTGACAGAAAGTGACGATTGCCATAAAAAAGGGGGGTGGGGCGGAATCTACTATGTGGTAGGCCCTATGCTGGCTGCTTTGCAAGTACTATCTGGGCATCTTGGGAAGGAGCTGAGGCCCAGATGCTTCTGGTAAAAGAAATGAAACACCAGCCATTCTTCCCACCACATGTCTATTTACACATCATTTGCACTGGGCATGTGAGAGCTTTGACATAGAGGTAAAAGAGAAAACTTTTATTCAGCTTTTGGGTCCGACCACTCTAGTGGTTTTTGTGGTTGTCTTCAAAATATTCATCTCTTGCCATATGAGTAATCTAAGCCTATCATTTTTATTTCAGCCATATTGCCAATGATTCATTTAGGAGTGACCAAGTTATTCAATCTTGTCAGTAAGACAGGAGAGCAACTTTGCTGAGGGAAGAGGGGGTGGTGCTGGGAAAGGCATCCTTGTTTCTAAGGAGACCCAGGCAGAGATGGCCCCCTTTCCCCTCTAGATTTTATCATGGAGCCTGGAAATGTCACATTCATTTTGTGAACATGAAGACAATACATGGAGAAGGCAATTGCATTAGTTTGCTGGGGGCTGCTGTAACTAAGTACCAAAAACTGGGTGGCTTCAAACAACGGGAGTTTCTTATTTCACAGTTCTGGAGGCTAGCAGTCAGAAATCAGGGTGCTGGCAGGACCATGCTCCCTCTGATTCTCCTTGCCTCTTCTAGTTCTAGGTGTTGGCCAGCAGTCCTTGGAGGTTCTTGGCTTGTAGATGCCACACCAATCACATGGCCATCTTCTCCACATGTGTCTTCACATGACCTCCCCTCTGTGTATCTCTGTGTCTGTGTCCAAATCTCTCCTTTTTATAAAATATCAGTCATATTGGATTAGGACCCACCCTTATGACCTCACTGTAACTCAATGATCTCTATTTCCAAATAAGGTCCCATTTTGGGGTCCTGAGGTTTGGACTTCACCATATCTTCTGAGGTACATAATTCAACCCATAATAACACCTGAGAGAATTCAGAGCCCTGGCTTCCTGGAGTCTAGTTAATCCCTTGAATGTTGTGAGATAAATTTCCTAATTGTTTAAGTCAGTTGGAGTCAAGTTTTCTGTTACCTGCAGCCAAATTATTTACACAGAATTATGCAGACATTTCAGGTGGGATAGAAGGTAAAGGAAGTGATGGAGCTAATGGGGGTCCTGGAGAAGTAGACAGCAGTGGAAGAAAGAACCTGGCTTGCTGGCCCAATACAGTGAGAACAGAACCTAAAAGTTTGCTTCGGTCCAGCACTGTTATTCATTCTTCATCCAAAAGCTTATTTATAGCTACCCTGTGGCAAGTATTGTGCTAAGCAGTGAGGATTGAATGAGCAAGATAGACACCATCTCTGCCTTTGAAAGGTGTGGTGGGGGAAATCCTGAAAAAGGGTCTGAAGAGGTAAATAGAGCTAGGGATGAAAAGACAGTGAGAAACATTAAAAGGTTTGTCATTTTAAGGGAATGGAGAACCTTGAAGCATTTTAAACAGGAGAGTGTAATGAGACAATTTATATCATAGAACGATCATTTATACTGTAAATGGAAAATGGATTTAAGTGCCTGACAGAGGCAGGTAGACCCATTGGGTAGCCCGTGGAATGCAAGTGAGAGATGCCTTTAGGATCCCCTTCACCTTCCGTATTTTGGGAAGTACCTGGGGTACTTCAATGTGGGTTGAGCTCCATCAGCAGGTCACTCAGTATGCCTGGACTGCTTTTCTCTGCTGGCCTCCTGCCCCTCCAGGATTCCCTTTTTGGAATCTGGATGGGGAAATCACCTCCACATGTCCATGTCAGATCCTTGAAAGGGTTAACTGGAGAACATAAGGCTTGAGCCTTACAAAATCTAACAGATGTCAAAGGAAAGCTCGTTCTGTTAGCCTAAGCCTTGCACAAACATGCTCCCCTTGAGTGGTTATTTAACAGAAATTCCTGAAGACCATCACCCCTCCATGGCCCCCTGAGAAAGGATGTCAGGTGCCAACAGAAGGACAAGGAACAAGGCCATAAAACTATGACGGGGGCACGTTCCTGATACCTGGGTCAAGCCAAAGCCCCGTCTGCAGCTCTCCCTGAGCGCACAAAAAGCCTGGTCCCTCCCCAATTCACTGCTGGCTCTTTCTCGAGTCAGACCACCTGCACCCAGGTGCCTGGAATAAATTATCATTTTGATTACACTGAGCCCTGAGTCCATTCTGTGTGACCCCGGCCCAACCCTGAACCTTTCAATCCTCTTAGGAGGGTTTGATGGCATGTTACTGGGGCCCAAGATACAGTAAGGTCCGATCAAAACAGTGTTTAGTTTGACATCCAGTTCTATTCCTAGAGAGACTATGCCACCTGGATGGCTAGGTCAAGATCAGGTTTGAGAAACAGCCAGAGAAAAATTATTTTCCTGGCACTAACACTAAGTCCCCTTTGCTAAGTCAGGCTTGTCCTGCCTCTGCGGGACTCCTCCTTTCCTCATGGCTGGTTCTCTCAGAGCCTCTCCTGCATCCCATAGCTCTATGTACATTGGTGGTAGTCAGCCTCCAAAATGGCCTGGACCCAAGTAAAGATAATATAAACAATTGCTGATTTTTAAAGTTTACTTTTTTTTAGCTTACTTTTGGAGGCATCATATGATTTTTCCTACACAAAATGGCTTCTCTTAATGTGCTGTGCTTTGACACATACTGTCATTAACCAACCAACCTCAACACCTGACCACTGGGTAATGGGGGAGATGTCACAGGCCTTCACTTCTTGGGTTTTTCCTGGTTCTGGATCTTACCTCTGAGCTCCCACAGAGCCTTGTGCTTGCCTTTATCAAGGCTTTATGCTTACTTACTGGTTACCTCCTTCAACCAACAATTTCTTGAGGGCTTAGGACTTAGTTGTATTTATATCCCAGGATCACCAACATTGCCTGGCTCTCTCAGGCACACAACAAATGCTTGGTGATAAGTAATAAATTTAGCAACAGGTTAAAAAACACACAAAACCCCAGGGTAATTAGTCTAGCTATTATGTATACAGACATCTTTTCCCTCAAAGCTTAATTAAAAAATACATACACACACCCATATATACATATATATGTGTGTATGTATATATATACACATACATATATACACTGAGTGGCCAGATTATTATGACCACCTGACGTTTGTAGGCAAATTAGCTATAATTTCGTGCTGAAGTTGCTAGAGGGCCAGACCATTATAAACGTCTGAATAGCACAACATACCTAAGTATCATTGCTGATCAAGTTCATCCTGTCACGATGATGGCGTATCCCAATGGAGATGGCTTCTTCCAACAAGACAATGCGCCATGCCACGGTGCTCGTATTGTGCAGGAGTGCTTTCAAGAACATGAGGGAGACTTTACCTTGCTTAGGTGGCCCCCACAATCACCAGATCTCAATCCAATTGAGCATTTGTGGGACGAAGTGAAAAGAGCCATCAGGCAGCTGGTTCCACAACCATCAAATCTCACAGAACTGGACAGTGCTATTCATCAGGCATGGTGTCAGATTCCTCGCATCACCTTTCAACATCTCGTGGAGTCAATGCCAAGAAGAATTGCCGCAGTATTGAAGGCAAAAGGTGGCCCACCGAAGTACTGATGGGGGTGGTCATAATAATCTGGCCGGTCATAATAATCTAGCCACCAATGTGTGTGTGTGTGTGTGTGTGTGTGTGTGTGTGTGTATGTTACTCTTATCCCAATATTATCTTTTCTATATAATAGGATTTACTATGTCAGCTTATGGTGAAGATATATACATTATTTTATCTTAGTCATTAAACTTTTAATGTTTCTAAATCCACATGGAGTTAATTTTCAGGATCCCTCTGGTTACAGCAGTGGTTCTCAATCTTGGCTGCACATTAGAATCACCTGGGAATCTTTTTAAAATCCTGATTTCTGGGCCTCATCCTCCGGAAATTCTGTTTCTTTGTTACTAATGTTGTGGCCCCACCCCATAACAAGAAACAGAATTTCCGGAGGATGAGGCCCAGAAATCAGGATTTTAAAATATATATTTTATTAATTTTTTACAGAGAGGAAGGAAGAGGGATAGAGAGTTAGAAACATCGATGAGAGAGAAACATCGATCAGCTGCTTCCTGCACCTCTCCTGCTGGGGATGTGCCTGAAACAAAGCTATATGCCCTTGACCGGAATCGAACCTGGGACCTTTCAGTCCACAGGCCGACGCTCTATCTACTGAGCCACACTGGTCATGGCCAGAAATCAGGATTTTAAAAAGATTCCTAAGTGATTCTAATGTGCAGCCAAGGTTGAGAACCACTGATATAAAGGCTCTTCAAATCTTTGGAAGAGTTTATGAGTTTAAAGTTCAAAAGCATCCTTCTGGATTATACCTGACATAAGAATATACGAACTGTAAAACAGATTTTAAAATGTTAACTCTCACAAACAAAAAAGAGCAGAATTTATTTTAAAATTCTATTATGTTTTCATTTAACAGTGCTGAGAACCCTACATTCAATCTTTACTGGTCTCAGCATCTCATTCCATGCGATTATTTCCAGAATTGTAGAATTAATGCATAAGCTGCACGTGTGCTCAAACACCTGCACCCTGCAGAAGAGACCATTTAAATATTAAAACTAGCTACTCCAAGTTATCAAAAAGATGACAATATGATTGAACCACTGTTAAAGTGAAATTACTTTGATGTTAATCATTATTACTATAATAAGAATAATGACTTCAACCGCATCTTTTTGTTCTTACCCTTGGAAACGTTGTAAATCTGTCCAGTTCTTCGACAAAGCAGAACATCTGCAAACTAATTGCTGACATAACAATCAAGAGGCTGGCAGTAAATACAACCAAACTCCCAAGCTTTTTCCCAGGACCAAAGATCTTGTACACGAAGTCTTCTAACGCAGGTGAAATCTTAATAAGCCGAACCACTCGAAGAACCTATTTTGGGAGAGAAAAACATACATATTTGATCATTTATTTACACTGAATCTTAAATAAGTTCATATTAAAACCTCATTTTTATAGCACTTTATAAAGTTGCACTTTTCCATGTAAGAGGAAAATTCCGAGTATAATAACTAAGCTATCATCAGTCTAGCTCACTATCTGTCCTATAGCAAGAACTCAGTGTGGTAGGTATGGAGTGGGGGCAGGTACGGGGTGGAGGGGGTCCATAGGGGAAGAAGGGGGAAATCTGTAATACTTTCAATAAAGATAAATTGAAAAAACAAAAACTAAAAGATGAAAAACAAAACAGCCACAAAACAAAACAAAAAACAACTCAATAAATCCCAAATGAATGAATGAAAAGAAATGGTGATGTTTTAACACATATTTCAAAATGGTATTAACTAGTACATGTTGTTGAAATAAAATTGATATTTTTCTAATGTTCAAATATTGAGGAAAATGTAGTTCAATTCTATCAATACTCATTGTATAATAAAGTAAAACTTCCCAAGTGTTAGTGTACATTCATAAAAAAATGTTTTAAAAACCTTCTCTCTTGGAGCCTTTACTTAAGGCTGAGACTGCTACCCTAATGTCCATTCTCTCCATCCTGGAAATAGAACTTTCTGAATTTTATCCTAGGAAGGAGCTACCTAGGGCTGCAGACTACATTTTCCAGCCTCGCTTGTAGCTAGGTGTGGCCAGCAGACTAGGTTAAGGCCTATGGAATGTGAAAGGAAGTGATTTTTGCAACTTTTAGCACATAAAAAGAAATAAATCTGTCCTAGATACTCTTTTTAATACTTTTCTTTGGCTGGGAAATGGAAACAATTGGAGTATACCCTTTGGACTAAAAATAGAAGCCTTGACTAGAAGATGATGAATCCAATCTGACAGAAAAGACCAACTTCCTGGATGCCCACACAGAGATGAGCCACCTCCTTTCCCTGGACACCCACCAACTAAACAAACTTCTATCTTATGTAAACCTTGTATTTTTAGATCTTTGTTATATTAGCCTAGCTTGTTATCAAAACACCCACATATGTTTTGCATGTATATGTATGTATATGTATGTGTGTGTATTTATATATGCAAAAACTCCCACCGATAACTAATACATTTATTTTCTCATTCATTTAACATATACTGATTGATTGTTATGTGCCAAACATTGTGTTGGACAAATATATTCAATGGCTATTATTACAAAGGGAGTATAAAAATATCTATAGCATTAAAAATATAAATGAGAATGTAATTAAAAGTTGAAGTATAAAATATGGAAAAGTAGCATTTTACATTCAGTTTAAGATATTATCAACTTTTTATATACATCTGAGAAATAAAAAAATGTTGCCAATTAAAGGGTAACACACCAATGGTTATAAGATGGACCCCAAATTTAGAGGTATTAAAATAGGAAAATTGTTGTCTTGGCATAAATAAAATATGTATGTAGAATGGTAGTCTGAGTTGATTTAATATCAATAAGAGCTTAAGTTGTCTGTGAAGGCTTCTTAAGAGAAGAAAGGTGAATAGTTTATTAAAAATATAGTAAGAGCCCTAGCTGGTTTGGCTCAGTGGGTAGAGTGTTGGAATGTGGACTGAAGGGTCCTGGGTTCAATTCCAGTCCAGGGCACATGCCCAGGTTGCAGGCTCAAGGGGTGTGCAGGAGGCAGCCAGTCAATGATTCTCCCTCATCATTGATGTTTCTATCTCTCCCTCCCTCTCCATTACTCTCTGAAATCAATAAAAATATTTAAATAATACAGTAAGAAACAGGAAATGCTTTAAAAACCAAGATTTTAATTTTTACACATACAAAATAATATATGATTTTTTGTTTGTTTGTTTTGTTAATCCTCATCTGAGGATATTTTTAGAGAGAGTGGAAAAGAGGGAGGAAGGGAGAGAGAGAGAGAGAGAAAAAACATCAACATGTGGTTGGTTGCCTCCTGCAAGTGCCCTGACTAGGACCAGAGTTTGAACCTATAACCCAGATATAGCTCTTGATCAGGAATCAAACCCCTTACCCTTCCGGGTGCGGGCCGATGCTTTAACAACTGAGCACACCAGCCAGGGCCAAAATAAAATATATTTGGATTTTCCTTTCCAGCATCCCTAGCTTCCTGCTTTTCCTGATTTGTCTTTGACAAATCATTACTACACTCACAGTCCATGAGGTCCACAAGGGGACTCCCAAATCCCCGAGATCCAGGCCTGACCAGAGTATTCACAATTATTTGATTCAACAGAACATTTGCTGGACTTATGAGAGGTGTTCCTCTTTTTTTTTTGTTCCCAATTGGTATTACTGTACGAATCACATAAGCTTCCAGCTTCTGGGAGACATTTTTGCTACTACATGGAGAAAGTCAGCTTAAGAATGATAGCATCAAAGAAGAAAAGTGACTGAGTCCCAATAATACAATTTTAGCCTCTGAATGTTGCCTCCTAAACTTTGAATTAACAGGAAATACTGAGGTAACATTATCATGCTGTCAGAGCCAGCAGCAAGAGCACCACACAGCTCTGCTGGTCTGACTGGCTCTGACACATGTATTCTTCTAAATTCTCCTAACCCACTACGCCAGGGCAGGCTCCTGCTTGAACCCTGCCCACTGTACTAACTGTTGGGAACTTAGTCCAAGCTCCTCCTTTATCCTCTGCTCACTAGACAGCAGGTGTTGGGTCCGAGCCCCTCTGCCTGGGGCTGGACCTCCTAGGATGCCAGGTATAGGCTAGGAGAGGTTGTGGGTGTACAAGAATAAGTCTTTATTGCAGAAGCCAGTGGCCATATAGCCATCAGATAAGAACAGTCCTCACAGCAAAGTCCATACAGGCAGGCAGCCGGACACCGGCTGGTCAATGCATATCTTTCCCATAAAGTAGCATCAGTCTCTGTACCCACAGTTATTATCTAAGCAGCCGCACACTGCATCCTAGACTCACCGCCTCACATCGTAGCGGTACCTGAGCTCTCTGGCTCAGCAGCTTCTCCTGTCTCTCCTGCCCAGCTGCTCTCTCTAGCACACACGCTATCCCAGCTGCTCTCTCTCCATACTCCAGCAGACTTCTTCTCACTCCAGCCAACTAGCTGGTCAGTAACCTACTTTGATACCATTTAGACAAAGAGGGCTTCATGACAATAGTTACATTAATCATATTGGCTACAGAAGGGCACAGTGTACCTTGTGTCCTTGCACCCAATCATGGTATCTTGACCTGATTAGGATTCCCAGGCTCAGACTCCTTGAACATCCCGTTTAGGCACATGCCCAGAGCGACCTTTGGCCATTCTGGTGTATTGATAACAAGGCCTCTGTGCTCCCACCAGCCTTGACTATCCCGGAACCTGGCATGGTTCCCACACATGCCTATTGTCTGAAGAACACAAATGGTATGGTTTCTAGCCACATGTCTAGTAAACAAATAGACAAATGTTTAAATAAGTCGAGAAAATGTATATTTCTTCATGCTAAAGTCCTTCAAATTAAGCATTATATTACATATACGGTTAAGTTACCAGTTTCTCCTGTTATAATACTTTAAGTATACATTCTGAAATCAGAACATTACACTGAGGCTATCTTTCAAAATAACAAGCAAACAGCTTTATCATAAAAACCATTAAGATATTAATATTCATAATCATTAGTACCTAGAGTACTAATCTGGGAAGATTTCACATTTTTATTAGAGTTGTTTATTCTCAAACATAAATGATCGGTATCTAGTTGTTAATATTTAAATATAGGCAAGTTTACAGAAACACTTTAACTGGTTTATAGCTCAAATTTAGTACTGTGTGTTTTCCCCATTTGTGCTAAAATTATATTTAAAGAATTTCCTTTGTAATTTTGAATCCTATCCCAAATGCTAATAAAAACAGCCTATGCACATCTGTGCAATTTTGATAAATTAATATTTCATTAGCTGGAAGAAACAGAGCTTAACACAACTCCCACATTGGTGATTTGATCAGAAATTTCAAAGGATTAACCTTGCATCCTAGGAAAGCCAAAATCCTTATAATTATGCCTTTTCATTTATTTGGGGAGAAGTATGGTTTTTACTCTGTCTACCCAACATGTTGATTTTTGTGTTCCTATTGATACTCTCAAACAAGGTCTGTAGAACATTTTGTGATAGTTTCCAAATCACATTTTCCTGGTCACATTTCTAAGTCTCTCTTAGAGACTATTCGTTTGATTAGTAAGTACTGTAGAATTGTGTGGTTTAGAATATGAGCTGTGAAATTAAATTTGTCGGTGATGAGTTTCTACCATGTGCTAGTTTTGTGGTCTTAGGCAAGTTCTCAAATCTCTTGGGACCTCCGTTTACATGTACACTCTCTAGCTCACATAATTGTTATGAGAAACAAATGAAACAATGCACTCAGCACAGTGATTGGCGCGTAGTAAATGCCCAATAAATACCAGTCGGTGTCACAATGATCCCGGTATGTTAGAACCGTAGCATTTTTAAAGGCTTCATTAATTCCCATAGGACAATGCTGCCCTATGTTCATTCCAGCGCAGCTGCACTGGTCTTGGTGCTACTCTTTGAACAAACCAAGTATGTTTGCACCTCAGGACAGGTACCACGTGGTTCTTTCTACCTGGAATGCTTCCTCCCTGAGCCTCTCATGGATGCTTCTCACTCCTTTCAGTCTCTGCTCAAAAGTCACCTCTTCAGAGAGAGCTCCCATGACAACTTATCTAAAATGACACCGCATCCCACAACCTCTATCATTTTTACTATGCTTGCTTCTTCTTTATACCATTTCTGGCACTTGTATTCTACATTCTGTTGTATACTTGTTTATGAACTGCTTGTCCCCTAGAATGTATGCTTACTAAAGTGGGGAACTTCATTGCCTTGTTCACCTTTCTCCCATCAGTATCTGGAACAGTTCATGGCACACACTATGTGCTCAGTTAATATCATTTAAATAAATAGATGAATAGCACCAATAATTAGTTTCAGAGATAATTGATATTTTAAAGGGAGTCATTTTGTACAAAACTGTTGACTTCACATTTAAATATGAAAAATATGATATTCACTCAGGGAAGACTTGCTGCCAACACAATGAAGAAAGGTCCACTGAAATGAGAAGTGTGAGGACCAACAAGAGAGATGAAAGTGGACCCACAAGGTGCCAATCTGTTCGGTACAATGGATTCTCCATTTGTGAATTTGCAAAAATCCTGTGACACCCAAGCTTTTTAAGAGATTTATTTATTTATTAGCCACAAAATAACTGAGGTATGTAGGTTTGAATTATTTTATTAGAAAAATATACCCATGGCCATGTATAGAGAGATACAGATGAAAATCACAACTATTGATATAAATTATTACAAATTATAATCCAGAATTAAAGACACAAGTAAAATTTCCAATTTCATTGATTGCATATTATGGGCCTATCTATATATATAAAAGCCTAAGCGACCATTACGACCGATTGACCAAATGACCGGTCGACCGGTAGCTATGACACACATTGACCACCAGTGGGCAGGCACTCAATGCAGGAGCTGCCCCCTGGTGGTCAGTGTGATCCCACATCCAACCTTCCCCAGCCAGCCAACCTCCCATGGTCCCTTCCCCCTGGCCAGCTGGCCCCGATTGGGACTGGGCGAAACGGGCCAGGGGCCTGATCGCTGGCCAGGCTGAGGGACCCCACCCGTGCATGAATTTGTGCACCGGGCCTCTAGTAGCTATATAAAATTATTAGAAGCATGAATACAAAGTCTAGATATTTTGTAAAAACAGACTAGTAGAAAAACACCAGAGACAATGACTATTAATAATTTGTAATACTTTAGTTTATTTCTATGCAGTCATTTTTGACTTTAAAATTTTTTTAATATTTAAACTGTTTTCCAGAGAGTATTAGATATTATTATCTCCTGTTTCTTCTTATTCTGTTTCTTTATCTGTAGTAGGTGCTGAATAGATAGATATTAGTTTAGTAGCCATCCAATGGTTTGTTAATGACTTAAGATAGTATTTCATGTGTAAAACCAAGTAACCTTCAGGTCATTTTTAGGTGTTATATGATTTTATACAGTTTTGCATTTAAATAAAACAATCATATCTCCAAGTTATTGCGAATTCATCACAGCTATTAATTTTATGGTCAAATTGGCATATGACTTGCTAAGCTATTCCTCAAATATTTACCATTTAAACAGTTTCCATTTTTTTATCTCATAAAGAATTCAAATTTTGATCTATTTCTAACATTTTTACAAAAAATTATCTGTGAGAATCTATAAGAATTTTCAAACCCTGAATATATTTTATACTATATCCTTGTTGAAATAGCATTAGTATTTTTTAAATTTGTCTGATATGATAGGTTTATATTAAAGTATCATGTAGCTTTGACTATCAGGCATATTTTCTATAATTATCTACAATGGTTCTCTAAGGTAAGCACTACATGCTCAGGTTGATTTTGTGAAGCTAGATAGCAGTGTCAAAGGGCCTATAATGCATGAATGTTTGGGAAGCCCATTTTGTATCAAGAGTTTTGAACATGTGTATATCTCTTGCCTCAGCCATCTTACTTAGGTAACCAAGGCCAAGGATATAACCCAACATGGGACAAGAGATTTATGTGCAAAGATGTTGACAGTACTAAAGGGTGTCCCAAAATTCACGCAAGAAGTAATTTTGATAGAAAACATGTTTATAATTAAAAATTGTAAATTTTTTATTGATTCATAAAGTATACAGTATAGGGTTATGTATGGAATAGCACATCGGGTAAATGGCCTCCACGGCTTTGCTGGCACATACGCACTTTTGGTTGAAATTTTCCATGACCGTTTTGCATAAATGTGGCTGAATTTCATTGGTACAGCACTCAATTTCCTCCTTTAAGGTATGGGTGGTTGTGGGCTTGTTGGCATAAATCTTAGACTTCAAAAAACCCCAAAGAAAAAAGTCCAACGGCGTTAAATCGCATGATCTGGGCGGCCAATTCTGATCACCAAAACAGGAAATTACACTACCAGGAAATGACTCATGTAGTAATTGAATTGTTTCTCGGGCTGTATGGCATGTGGCACCGTCTTGTTGAAACCATATGTCTTCCACATCCATATCTTGCAATTTAAGCACAAAAACCTGGATTATCATGTCGCAATAGTGAGCACCATTAACTGTTACTGCCTGAGCAGCCGCATTTTCGAAGAAGAATGGTCTGATGATGCCTCCAGCCCAAAATCCGCACCAAACAGTGACACGTTGTGGATGCATTTGTTTCTCAACAATCACTCGTGGACTTTCTGAACCCCAAATGCGACAATTTTGTCGATTAACCAAGCCATCAAGATGAAAATGAGCCTCATCGAAATTCAGCCACATTTATGCAAAACGGTCATGGAAAATTTCAACAAAAGAGTGCGTATGTTCCAGCAAAGCTGTGGAGGCCATTTACCCGATGTGCTATTCCATACATAACCCTATACTGTATACTTTATGAATCAATAAAAAATTTACAATTTTTAATTATAAACCTGTGTTTTCTATCAAAATTACTTCTTGCGTGAATTTTGGACCACCCTTTAAAAGTTTAAACCACGATAGTCCTCTATGATTTCAATATGCTTAGTGGTGATTTTTAGAAGATCAACTTTTTACGTTGCAGTGTATTTGGTTTTCATTTTCATGAATAATATTTTCATGTCCTTTTCTCCAAGTAACTAGAATATTGAGTTTCAGGTTATAGCATCTTAAGTTAATACAGCCCTGAAAATGATAGCTTTGGTATTACCAATAAATAAAATCAATGAAATTGGAATGCATTTTCTTCACATTGTGCTAATTTATGAACTATATTTTTAAAACATCTCCATTTATTACTATGAATTTTGAAGAGTTTTAAAAACAATATTACAATTTATAAACATACTATTTTAGGTATTTAAGATGTCATCAGACCTATCTTTTTTTTAAAAATATATTTTATTGATTTTTTTTTTTTTTTACAGAGAGGAAGGGAGAGGGATAGAGAGCTAGAAACATCGATGAGAGAGAGAGAAACATCAATCAGCTGCCTCCTGCACACCCCCCACTGGGGATGTTGCCCACAACCAAGGTACATGCCCTTGACCGGAATCGAACCTGGGACCCTTCAGTCCACATGCCGATGCTCTATCCACTGAGCCAAACCGGTTAGGGCTCATCAGACCTATCTTAAGTGTGCATTTAATAATTATACATAATTGTTATATATAAACTTATACAATTATTATTATTATAATGTGACTAGTATTTCCTATGGAATAAAAAATGTCTAAAGACAAATATGCATTATTTGTATTACCTGAAAGTATGTGAATTGAGAATGATAAAGATCTGGATATACATGAAGAGTAGTTCCAATCACAAGTAATAGCTCAAATTTGTGGAGAGATGAGCTAATATATCCAGTAAATCCCAAACACCATATCTTCAGAAGTGCTTCCAAGTCAAAAAGTACGGTAAAAGCCACCTAGGTGAACAAAGAGACAGTGGAATTGAAATCTAAAAGTATAATGTATTTAAAAATATTTTATATATTTGTCAGTCCATGAATTTCAGCCACTATCATATAAAATGAGGAGCCCACAATAATCTATTCTAGAATGACATTTTTATTTTAAAAAAAATAGTTTGAAACACACCAACTAGAACCTAGCATACCAAATATATCTTAAGCAATTAGAAAACATGTTAAAATGTTAAATGTTTGCACGTGGCATTATTTCTTCATTATGCACTATTTGATAATATTTAAAAGTCATTTCTATTAATAGAATTACTATATACACAGATAGGGTACATTTTTCTTTTAACTTTATCTTTATTGCTGAAAGTATTACTGCTGTCCCCTTTGCTTTTGTTCCCCATTGACCCCCTCCACCTTCCACTTGGCCCTCCAAGGCCTTCACCACACTATTGTCTGGGTGGATGGGCTATGCATATATGCATACAAATCCCCTGTTAAGCTCTCCTCACCCACCTGCCCAATGCTGCCTTTCCTCTGAAGTCTGTCTGGTGCTTCTAGGTCTCTGGATCTATTTTTTTCATCAGTTTATAAGGGTGCATTTTTGTATAATTTGTTTACTCTAAAGATAAAGTTTCTATAATGCACATGGTATATTATAAAACAACTTACATATTAGTAAGCAAAATTAAACTAATATATAAATGTTTCAATATTATTATGTCTTGGGCCACAAACAGAGATAGATTCTATACCAAGCAATTTATGTACCTGCATTAACATATTAGTACATTATATGTCCATATTATTAGTTAATAATCAAAATTACTATATTAATGAATTAGCTTAACCTCTTAATCTATCACATTAATTCTATGAATTTGTTACTACAAATACTAATATTATAAAATACACACATAAATATAGCATGTATTATTTCTTTACTTGTCCTATGGATAAGAAAACTCATTTTATAAAGAAGTTTGCAACTGGAATGAAAATGTGCAATACAATTTAACTCTTAATTGAAAAGCACAAGGCTGAGTGTTGGAATCAGTCATAACATATCCCTCTGAGGAGATACCAGATGATTTATTGGAAGAAATGAAGAAAGAAAGCTCGCTTTCCTTTTTTCTAGGCCAACACAGAATATCAGAAGGGATTTTCTTCCACTCACATTTGAAAAATGTGGAGAAAACCATATTTTTAAAAATAACATTTTAGGAATAAAACACTAAAAGCATTACAAGTGGTTAATTTAGATGTAAGGAAGAAATTAACATTACTTTTCTATCTAGCACTTCTGTAGACTCAAGTTGCTTCTTAATTTGAATTGGCATGTCCTTTTTAAAAATATAAAACAGTAATACATTTGAATTGTTAAATAATCCTAAATATAAAGTATTAACAAAATCCCCTGTGAGACACTTTGCATATTTCCTCCTTAACATCTCCTGTTTCATCTAAATATATACTGTACAATCACATAAATGGGCTTGCATTTTATATGTCACTCTGCAACTTGCTTTTCTCACTCACCAACAATCATAGACAACCACCCCACCCCCCTGGGATAGAGATTTGGTCCTAATTATTCTTTTCATCAGCTGCATATTTCCCATAGCAGTCAATGTTTATTTAATTCAACATTCTCCCTGATGACTCACTGAAGAATAGTTTTTCCTTGATAAGAAATCATCGGGAAAAATGTTAAGCATTTTGCTGCTTCAATAACAAGACTACATTAACCATCCTTATGCAATATTCATATTTATTGAACTTTCATATCTATAAAAAGAATCTCAAACCTAGCATTGCTGGGGCAAAGGACAGGTTTATGGAGCTTTAAATTAAAAAAAAAAGTATTAATAAATTCATTCAAAATGTTATAGAAAATCATTTGCCTTCCAGCAAGGTAGGAAAGTGCTTCCTATTTTAAATCTGTACCATCACCAGATGTAATCAAACTTAATCAAGCTTTTGCTTATCTGTTCATGTGTGTATTGATTATTTAGATTTATTTTATTTTTAAGACAGCTTTTCTATTCATAACCTTGCCAATTTTCTATGGTGGTGTTTTGTCCTTTTTATTAGTTCTTGAGGTTGTTGATATTAAGAACAGTCATCTCTGTCTGCTATATGAACTACAAATAGTTTTTCCCTAGTCAATAGTTTGACTTTTAATTTTGGTGGCATTCGCTCTGTAAGCACTTTAAATTTTATCCGGTCACATATTTCTATCTTTATGATTACTTTCTTTACCTTTACATACAAAACAGGTCTTTAGAAAGATTATTATCAAACTGTCATATCCAGGATCACACTATGTTTTTCTATTTATTTGGACTATATTTTTAAATAAAAATTCCCCATAGAGATGTTGTTTCTTGTGAAATGTATTTCCATGAATTTAATATTCCAGTTACTAATATAAAGGCATTTTTTTACCTTTTAAATTTTTATTTATTTTTTTTACCATTCTACCTAGTTAGTTCCAGTGAAGAGAAAAGCTATTGATTTATCTATATTGACTTTCTTCAACCACCTCAGTAGATTCTTCTACTAATACTAATATTTTTAATAAGGACTCCTGGATTTTATTAAAATATGTACATCTCATTTGCAATTGAAGATAATATTTTTTCAAGATTGATTTTGGGGTTAATTGGATTACTTTATTAGCTATAATGATACAGTTGTACGGTAATATAGTAAATAATGAAGTGGGGGAAAAGAGGAATCCATGCTCCTCATTTTCCATGGAAGTTTCTTCAGCATTCCTACATAATAGTTGCAGTGGGTTTTGATAATTAATTTCTACTCTGTTTAAGGGCTTCTCTTCTTTTCCAATTCTACTTAAAGAATTTTAGCCTTCAATTTGTTGAGGTAGTGAAATGTATCACAAGAGCCCTTGATGTTAACCATTTGAATATTCCTAGAATAAACACTAAATGATAATGCTAATCTGGATTTTATTGAATAACTAGAGCAGTGATGGCGAACCTATGACACATGTGTCAGAGGTGACACGCGAACTCATATTTTTGGTTGATGTTTCTTTGTTAAATGGCATTAAAATATATAAAATAAATATCAAAAATATAAATCTTTGTTTTACTATGGTTGCAAATATCAAAAAATTTCTATATGTGACACGGCACCAGAGTTAAGTTAGGGTTTTCCAAAATGCTGACACGCCGAGCTCAAAAGGTTCGCCATCACTGAACTAGAGGCCCAGTGCATGAATTTGTGCACCACTAGGGTCCCTTGGCCTGGCCTGCGGGGATCAGGCCGAAACTGGCACTCCGACATCCCCCAAGGGGTCCCGGATTGCGAGAGGGCACAGGCCAGGCTGAGGGACTCCACCAGTGCACGATTGGGGCCGGGGAGGGACCGAGGGAGGGCTCCAGGGCGTGTCTGGCCCCATCTCACCCAGTCCCGATCGGCTGGACCCCAGCAGCAAGCTAACCTACCGGTCGGAGCGTCTGCCCCCTGGTGGTCAGTGCGCATCATAGAGACTGGTTGGACACTTAGCATATTAGGCTTTTATTATATAGGATATTTTCTTTATAATTTTTGTAGTTACTTTCATATATGAAATTGGCCTATAATTTTACTCACACTATCATGTCAGGTTTCGTTAAGCTTATGCTAGTTTTATCAAACGTACAGAGTTTTCCATGGTCTGATCTGGAATTGCTTAAATAAAACAAGGAATATTTCATCTTTAAAAGTTGGTAAAGTGCAGCAGGAAAACCAGTGGGTCCACTCCTTTTTGTAATGGTAGATTGAAACTTTCCAGGGTTCTTCTGATCATGTTTCATATCTTGTCCATCAATTTGACCCTTTTCCAAGAAATCATCATTTTCCTCTAGATTTTCAAGAACTGTGTTTAAAGTACATTTTTCCAGAAAGGACCGGTTCTGTCAAGGTTCAAGGGTTATCTAACATATTTGGTACCCCCTTTAAATCAGTTTTGTAGCTGATGTTTCTCAGACCCTAAAAGTAATGTGACTTGGACCACCAATCCCATATGAGGGCAGGATTGTGCCTCCACATTTTCAGTAAAGCTTACTCTTTTTCCACCCACGTGGGGTCAAGGTCAAGACAGAAGTTTGCCAGATTACTTCCTACTCTCATTGTGCCCTGATGTTACATGAGGTTCTCTGCTCTGACAGTTCACTGCACAGAGCCGTTTCTCCCGTCCTGAAACAAGTTCTAGGTGACAAGGATATGCAAATGCCCTCAGGGCAGCCACTGGCTTAAGTGACCATTGGGCATTTTGCACTCACATCATTTGCCCTGTAGACTATTCCTTAATTTTTAGCACATTCTGCTAAGTATTTTAAATCTTTTAATATTTAGGTGCCATTTTTAGTTGTTTTACCTTTTGGAACTACCTTGTATGCATTTCCTAATAATACTTGGTTTTGTGTTTAAACATAATCAAGTTTTCTAGGTCTTTTGATGGGAAAATTCAACCTGTCCATATTTAATGTACCAAAGTTATAGTTGGTCTTACGTTTCCTATCTATTGTATGAATGTCATTCTTCTTTCATCTTTAAACCTTTTCTTATCTTTTCTGGCTTGGTCAAATTGTTGTTGATTTCTACTCCCTCCTTGCTAATTCAGATGTTCTATTCTGCTTTTCTAATCCTCCAGATTATCCCAATGATCATAAATCAACCTATACTTTTTATTATTGCATTTAATTGGAATCGTGTAAACTCCTCTCTCAGGCAAATTTGCTCACACACTTATGCCTCACACCTTGCCAATCTACATTTCAAAGTACTTCTATCACCCTGCTCTCCATCGATATCACACACCTTCTTTCATGCTCTCTATTGATATCACACTCCGGCTTTTCCCAAGATCATACACAAATTAAATTATAGTTTCTTGAGTTCTTGATTTTTTAAAGGTTCTTATTTGACATTTTTATCACCACTTTTCTTTCATCTTCTCTTATCTATTCCTGTGGATGAGATGAATTTATTTTATG